AAGGCCCCGGGGGGCCCGCCAGGGAGGAGCTGGGGAGGAGGCCAGAGCTGCATGGAGTTTCTAGGGCGCGCAACTCCGGCGGGGCCTCGGCCACTGGGCTCCGGGGCGCAGCGAGGCAGCCGCGCACATGGGCTGAGCCCGCGCGCCGGGGCTCTGCACGGCCAGCGGGAGCGGGAGGGGTAGAGGAGCGCGCCGTGCCGGGGGTGCGGGGCACACGTCCCCAGACGGGAGCAGAGGACAAGGACAGGGAGGAACGCGCTCGGATCGCGCTCCGAGCCGACGAGGGGCTCGTGCCGGCCCCGGCGCGCGCTTGGGGAGCGGCCCCGGGGCGCCGTGGGAGCCGGCAGCAGCGAGGATGCCGGCGCGGGGACGCGGCTGCCGGCTGGGGGTGTGAGCGTGAGGCTGAGCGCTGCCCGCCGGCGCCTCCATCCGCGCCGCCCCCTCCCTGCGGGCCTCGGAGGAAGCCCCCCGCGCCGCGCGGAGGCGCCTCGGAACCCGGGCTGCGGAGCAGCGGGCCCGCGCGGCCGGCCCCGGCCCAGCGAGAGGTGAGTGCTGCCGCCCGCTCGCTCCCTCCCCTCGCCTCCCGCCCTCGCCTCCTCCCTCCGTCCTCGCCCCTCCGCACGGCGCCCGAACCCCGCGGCTGTCGCGGGCCCCTGTCTCTGGAGTGGGCAGGCAGCCGGCCGACAACGCCTCCCATACCTGTTGGCACTGGCAAAGGGCAGCGGGCGGGCTGGCGGCCGCCCGAGCCACCTAGCCCTCCCTTGGGGGCTGCTCCTGGCTGGCCGCCCGCCCGGGGGCGTGGGGCTGGGGAAGGGCCGCGGGGTGTCCCACTCGGGTGTCCCGGAACTGTGCGGGCTGCATGCAGGCTGGGAGCCGCTCACCGAGCCCCCGGCGCCGGTGGCCGCGGGCGCCCGGGAGGTGGAAGGGAGGGAAGGAGAGTGGGAGCCGCACCGCAGCCCAGGTGGGAGAGCAGGGCGGCTTCCAGGTCTTCGGGAAGCCGAGAGTCATGGCGATCAGGAGAGGCGGGAGGCGGGATTCCCTCCACCTCCAGCCCTCCTGGGCGCACGCTCCTGGCCGCCACCCGCCCGGGGTCCGCGAGCCGTGGGGAGCGCGGGATAACCGGGGAGGCCTCCGGCAGCCAGCCTGGGACCTGGCTGGCTGCTCAGCGGGCCCCAGGGCCCTAGGCAGCTCGATGGCCCGGCGCCTGGGCAGGGGCGGGCTCCGGCTGTCCCGGGCAGTCTGGGTTCCAACGGGTGCCCCAGCCTCCCCGGACTGCGTGACCGGGAGTGAACTTCCTCGGACTTGGCCTGAGGGCGCCTAGGCAGCAGCAGGTAGTTCTGCGGCCGGCCTCGGGGCTGGGGCGAGCGGAGGACGCCTCACACCGACGGGATGGTGGTGCTGAGCGTGGACGGAGGGCTACGTTTTGCCTTCTAGGCGCCAGCCACGTGCGCCCTCTGCCCCCGCGCCCGGCATCATTTCCCACAGCTCTTTTTTTTGAGGAGTGTGTGAGGAAAGCGCCTTCCCTGCCTTAGGTGTTGCGAGGCCCTTAGTCCCTGTGAAATGCCTGCAGTTCCCTGGGTGCCAAGACTGGGGCGCCATCCCCAGGCCCTGCGCCTGTTTTTTTTTCCGCAGAGAAGGAAACTTTCCCGAGCTCAGAGAATAGCAGCTCAGTGCTGACTGTGTGTGGCTGTGTTGGGTCGTGTCCACTGAAGTCTGAAGTGCTAATAATAACTACGTTCTAGAGTGAATAAGAGCCGCGTCGGTGGTGGCGTGGAGATGACCTTGCCTAGGAAGAATGGGTAGATTTCTGCCCTCTGTGTGGCCAGACACAGGCAGCGTTTGTGCAAATATGAAAACTCATCACTCTTCAGATTTCCATGTTCTCCTTTAACTGCTGACTTTCAGTTGAAAAGATAAACTCTTTTTCAGTGTAGGCATCGCAGCTTTGCAAAGGGTTTTAAAGCCACTTGGTGTGAAATTTTCTTGAGGCTACAGCAGGACATGTTTTTTTATCGAAGTCGACTGCGGCGCTCCTCCTTGGCTTGTTGGTGGTTTTTATTTCATTTTTGTGGGATGGAAGGAAGTGTTGGTGGAAGAAGAAGGAAGTGTTGGTGGAGTCCAGATTTTATTTGCTACCTGTTTATATGAGGCTTTGACTGAAGTCTACACAGCGGCTCAGACCTCCCCTGTGCTTGCAGCTCTCTCGCAACGCCCAGTTTAGGATTCATTCCCCTTTCCAGAAGCTGCATAACTTCGCCAGTTCCTTAGGCAATGTTGGTGGCCTCCGTGAGTGCCCCATGGATGCCCCTGGGCTGCATTCCCCCAGCAGTGGCCCCCTTTCTTAGTTCACCGCAGATGTGTGGGTTTTTCATGGCACTAGCTGTCTAAAGAAGGGCTTTGTTTACTGAGAAACTGGTCTACGGTACTGCAGTTGGTTACTGGGTGTATCTAAGTGGAGTAATGAAAACAAAACTCTCTAGAAACCCAATCCCTTGGATATTTTATTGGAAGAGTGCTAAATCCTCTTAGAATTGTTCACCAAGATCACCTTTCTCTGAACTCGCAATGTAACTATTGCCAGTAATCAGGCCTTCAGTGAGGGTGCAGAATAAGGGCTTTTTAGAAAGAAAATAATTTAATTCAGCTGGTTCAGTCAAGAAAATGATGGGCAAGACTTGATGGAGATACACAACACCCTTTCCTCTCTAAAGGGTGGGAGGGGGCACTGATGTGAGGAGGGGGTATGTGTGTGACAGCTGGTTTGTTGAGTTTAACATTTATCTTCCCAGTGGGAGGCCTCTGATCAGTGCTTAAATATCGGGCAGGGTAGGGCTCCAGTCCAGAAATTTCTTTTCCATAGCCAGTGGCTCTGGGAAGGACAGTGTGCTCCTGGGTCCCCAGCCCTGGGGAGAGGTATCTGTGCACTAGTCCTTGAGCCTGTGGCTGTGTCTGCAGTCCTGGCTTTGCAGCCTACCCCAGAACTCCAGCACATGCAGTGCTCCTTGGGTGCCCGAAGGGGGCAAGTTCTTATATTGGGAGGAACTCTTGTGGCCCTGATAGGCCTTAGACATTTAAGGTCTTTGGAGTCTCTCTTAATTCAGATTTCTGAGACCCTGCTTGGTGCCAGACACTTTCACATATTTGAGCTCGTGTAAGCCTCATTTTTCATATTTGGAACTTGATGCTAAGGGAGATTAAGTAACTTTCCTGAGGGTGCATAACTTAGGGGGAGGGGCGGGGTTATGGTTTGATTCTCAAGGTTGGGATTCCTGATGCTAAGTCCAGGGCTCTTTCCACACTGCTGCTTAGGATCTGAAGCGTGTTTTGGTAACCTTCGACCTTTGGTGCTTTGTTTAGAGTCAGATCGTAGTGGGTGCCCTATGTTGGCTGAGTGAATCTAGGTCAGCGTCTCATTCCTCATTCCTAATGAGGAAACTCGGGCACAGGAGGAGCTGTGCCTTGGGCACTGGGTCAGAGGAGGAGGCCTTGACCCCTTGAGTGCCCACGTGGAGCTGTGTGAGGTTTGGGCCCAGATTGGTTTGATTATCGGCTGCTGCTGCTTTGCTCGTTCCCTGTCTGTGCCCACATTGGTATGGGATGGGTGATATCTTTGCCTTTCACTTGAGGCTTAAACTAATGTAGTCAGAGTGTCTGAAATATCCTTTCATGATGGAGAACCATTAGGCAGTGCAACCAGCAGTAGCCTCTGATGCTTGTTAAAACAGTGTGAGTCCTGCCTCTCAAGCAATGAAGCCATCCTTTAAGATGGACAAAGCATTAGCTGATCCCTTGGTGGCTCAATTTGAGGGTAATTCCGAATGTGGTTAGAAAGGAGGAAAATGAAAACACAATTGTTGCATCCAACCTGGGGTTTTCAAAGTGAATTATATTTTTAAGCATTTAACATCTACCAAAAATGTATTCAGTGCCTATTAATGTGGTACAGATATAGAGATGAATATGACACAGAGCCTGTCATCTAAAAATTCACAAATTAGTGGGGAAGGCAGGCCATGTGTTAGGGATACACATTTGTGAGCAGAGATGGAAGGTAGCTAGCCTAGGATGGAAGTGATGTCTGAGCTGAGCTTAAAGGATGATTATGAAGTGGTCAGCTTTAACTGGGTATTCCCATGCAGAAGAAATAGGGTGAGCACAGGGTGAAAGATTTTAAAAAACATGGAATATATGAGGAAGCAGCTGGTAGTGTGGAGTTCCTGGAACTTAAATGTCGAGGCTGGGAGTAACAAGAGAAGAGGCTGGAATGATGATGGAGGGTGATGGAGGGTGATGGAGGCCTTTGATCGGGACCAGGGGCTCAGCATTTCTCTGGTGGGGGTGGGCCGCATGGTCAGATTTGAGTTTTAGGTGAGTCTGGTTGGGGGACCCTGTGGAGAATGGATTTGAAGACTGGAGGCATAAATACCAGTGAGGCGGCTGGCGCTGAGGCCGTGGTGGGGAGGATGGATGAGAAGAGGGAGGTCCGGCAAACATTTAGGAGAATTCGGGCAACAGAAACCAGCTCTGGCTAACAAGAAAAGCAAATAAAGGGGATGTATTAGAAGTACTGATGGGAGCTCACAGGACTGAGGGCACGCCTGAAGACCGGGCCTGGAGCAGAGGGGAGTCAGGCAGTTGAGGGGATCTTGGTGGCAGGAATTGCCTTACGGTTTCTCTCAGATGTTCCCATGGAAGTAAATGATCCCCCACCTTTTCTATCATCAGCATCAGCATCATCAGCATCATCGTGGTATTAGTCTGCTACATTCAAAATGCTCAGAGGAAGTGTCCTGTTAGCATAGCTTTGGGTCTTCATGTCTAGGAGTAATTTTCTGAAAAGTCATCCTAATGGAGAGAGGTAGTTTTCTGAAAGGAAACTGGAACAATCTTGCTCAAACCTTGACATGGATATTGGGCATGTTGTCCACAGGAGGGACAGTTGGCTGGACTTATTGATGAATTGATGGAGAAGTGGGAGAAAGGGAAGGGTGTAGTGTGTCCACTGGGTTTCCGGTTTAGGTAATGGGGTGGATAAGCAAATGAAAGTCTGGTCAAGAACAAATAACTTGCTTGTTTTCCCTCTAGCAGGGCTGTGGGCAGCTCTCCGTGACCAGGCTGCAGGAGAAGGTGACAACCTATTTTAAAAAGTCTCATTAAGGGGCTGTGCTGCTGTGAAGAAAGCCTGTTTAAGTAGGTTGCTGTATCTCATGCCCCACAAATCTGGATACTTTGAAAACATTTTCATTCATTCAGCCAATATGTGTTGAGCATCTCTGGTTTAGGTACTGGGGAATATGGTGAATTAGATCGATAGAGGTGGTACTCTCATATTCTAGTGGTGGAAGGCATAATAAAAAGAAAAGAAAAGAAAAGAAAATTAGAGACATGCAGGGGCTCCCTCAGGTTGGGTGGTGAAGAAAGGTCTCATTGAGGAGCCATATTTAAGCTGGATAAGTTAGGGGAAGAGCTGGAGAAGAACTTTCAGGCAGTGGCAGCAGCCAGTGCAAAGGTCCTGAGGTAGGAACAACTGGGGTGCATTAGAGGAACAGGAAGGAGGCTAGTGTGTCAGGAGATGAGTTCACAGAAGCAGGGTCTAGTTCATGGGGGGTCTTGGGGGTCTTCCTGTGGAATTTGGGTTTGATACAGAGTTTGTTGGGAGCCACTAAAGGCTTTTAAATGAGAGAGTGACATGATTTAATTTACGTTTTCGAAAGATCACCCTGGCAGCACTACCGTATGCACTACCTTGAGTCTTCATCCGTTAGAGTGTAAAATGAAATGTAGTGTTTAAGATGGAGAGAAAATGCTTTGTGGTTTCTAATGTAGCAATTAAATTTAGTGGTTTCTAACGTAACAATTAAATGTAGGTAAGGACAAACTTGCATTTCCAGTATGATTCCAGTTTTGTTTAAAAACATGATATAGAAGAATAATGGAAAGGAATGGACTAAAGATGTTAACATTGCTTGTCCAAAGGTGTTGGTGTTATGGATGATTTTTTTTCGAAAACGAGCACACATTTCTTTTATAATAAGAAAAAATCTTTTTAAAAGGTAGACACTGATGGCCACAAATGTCTTGAATGGGGTGTTGTGAGACTGTATCTACTAAACACTTTTTTCCTACTATTTTATGTCAGGAAATTTTAATATCAAAAATCCATGGTCCTGTTTTGACAGAAGATAGGATACTTATTTTGCACCAGCTGTCCAATGGGTGGTTCTTTGTTTCATGCTTAAAAAATATTTTTAGTTATGAAAGCAAACATTCCTTTAAAAAAAAACAAAACAAATTAAGGCAATGTAGAAATGTTATATAAAAAATGAAAGCACCTTTCCGTACTCTCATTCCCCAGACCATTAACATTTCAGTATGCGTATTGTTAGATTTTTTCCTATGCATTTCAAATACATACATCTATATTTTGTTGAAAGATTTTGGAATATTGTCATAACAAGTTACCCTCTCTAAATTACTCTTCAAAAATCCTTGCCCTATAACTTGAAACCTAGATGGCCTTTTTCCCCCCTTGAAACAAAATTGTTAGGAAACCTAAACACCTAACTGAGCTAGAAGAAACTGAATCTTGCCTTTTTAGTATTCCGAGCGTTCACTGAAAGCATACTTTGTGTTTATAAAGAATAGAGCAATTAAATATTGATTAAAAGTTCATCTCTGAGCATTTAAACATTATTGCTGTAGTATCGGAGCCCAAAAGTTGGTGTCATGTTTATAAATCACTTGCACTTTTTCATTAACAAAAGCTAGCCGGTGTGAAAACTGAGAAGCACAAATCAAGGAACTTAGCTAATTATTTTGGTGACATATTTATTACAACAGAATATTATCCTTTGAAAACAGGAAAAAAGAGGCATTCACTGAAGTGTTACATGGAGCCATTGATGTGTCTGGATACCTGCGTGGTCTCGCCGTGCAGACTGGGTTGGGGGCTGAAGTGTCAGGAATGAAGGGCCACAAACTCAGTGTTAATGTCACTAAACAGTGTTGGATTGGAGTTTCATTACGTGATTCAGCAAAATTGCTACCTTTCCCATCATTGCTTTAATTAAACACATCCTTTCTTGGTGAAGAGAAGAGCGAATACGTGCTTAGAAGAGATGATTGTAAAGTAATAGAACCATGGAGTTGAAGAGGGAGCAGGGCCCTTGGTTATCTCATTTTACAGATGGGAAAAAATGAGGACCAGAGAGAGAAATGACATGTACTCTCAAACAGAGCCAATTTCCCCACCCCAGCGCCTCTTCTCTACACTCAGCAGTGGCTGTGTTGTTAGAAAATGAATTTATTTTGGTAAACCCAAGAATTAGGAAAGCATTCTGAACCTGATGAAAAATGGGAGGGTTTTTGAGCTGTTCATTCATTCTGTAAAGTGTAATCTGTTTGTGTACTGATAACAGGCCTAATTACTGTGTAAACATTTTTGTAGCCTGGTAAGGAAACCTCAAACATCTGTGCTGCACATTGATGCAGCGTCTCAGCCACCAGCATTCCTACTGCTTGTTCTTAAAACCAGTCGCTCTGTTATTTAATCTGGTCTATGGTTGATGATTCATTTTATACACAGACACATAAACACACATTCCAGAACCAGCAGGAAGTGACAACTAATAATAGCAAACTTGCACAGTACTTACTGTGTGTCGTCAACTCTCTGATTATTAGTATTTCCCCCATTTTACAGATGAAGAAATGAAGATGCAGCAAGATTTGGTAACTTGCCCAGGGTCCCAGGTTAGCGTGTGATGGATGGGAACTGCCACCACCATCATCTCAATCCGGAGGCATGTGACTCACCAGCTAAAATCTCCACCTTTGCTTGCCTCTCAAAGTCAAGCAAACTTTCAGCCAGAAAGATTGGTATCTGACTTTATGAAATCAATTTAACTTGTTAAATCACTTGTTGTTTGGGCAAACTCACAGATGTAGAGCTGCAGAGAGTTCTCCACGGGGACTGCGTTTCCAGGTCTCTTTTGTGGGTTGCCCCAATCCCGTCCCCTCATGAGTCACTTGGTGGTAGCAGGTCAAGGAGAGATCATCTGCCCTCAGCTGAGCCTAGTGGCTCTCTTTTCACTGCAAGACCCAACCCTCAAGTTAGTTGCATGGGCGCTCACCTGCTTCTGACCCCTAGTAGATTCAAATACTGTGAGCTTCCAGCTTGGCTAATAGGTCATCCTAATAAATACCAAAGTTCTCTACTTCTCACACCCAAAGAGATAAAATGCTTCTTTCAAAAATCCAGAAGTACAGAATCTGTGGAACCTTCAACAGGCAGTAGGCAACAGGGAAGCATCACATAATTAAAAAGGAGGGGAAAATAAGTGCAGGCGGGTACTGTCAATGGGTCGTCACTCAGAGATCTTAGCTAGCCTTAAATTATTAGTTATGATGCATGCTGACTCAGAACCTTATATACCAGAAGGGACGAATGCCAAGGAGCATTTGCCACGGACTCTTCTGGCTCCCTCAGTTTTACCTCTGGCCCCAGGAAGTCCATGTACTTGGAGATCCCTGCCTGAAAGATGTTGCTGAAGAAGGAAGTTCTGTCCTCTGCTTTGGAACACTGCAGTTGCCATGAGAGACAGAGAAAGAAAGAGAGAGAGAGTGAGCCAGTGCTGACAGGTAGCTTTTTCTGGGAGTGGCCACCTCCTGCAGGAGCTTGGAGGCTCCTAGCACTTATCTCAGACATGAAGGTAAATGCAAGAGGCAGGTACCAGGCCATCATCAGTTAGAACTCCAGCAGGCGGGTGGCCTTGCTCTGCTCTTGGGAAAGGTGATACAGACCCTTCTGTATTTGTGTTTTAGAACCTGAAGTGGAGAATATAGTTCAATGTTTTTCAAACTTTCCTGCACATTAGAATCTCCTGGGGAGCCTTAAAAAAGTCCCAATGCCCCATCACATCCCAGACCAGTGACATTGGAATCTTGCTGGGGTTGGGCGGGCACCAAGCCTCCTGAGTGATTCTACTGCACAGCCCACTTTGAGAACCAGGGCTCTAGGACAGGTTTTCTCAAATGGGGTGCCTGCAAATCACCTGGGGATCTTGTTCAAATGCAAATCCTGATGCCTGGGTCTGGAGCAGGCCTAGAGCCTGCATTTCTAAGCAGCTCCAGGCACTGCTGCTGCTTCAGGTGGGCCACACTGGGAGGGCAAGGCCTAGTTCGGAGAATTATGATCCTGACTTACTTGGCATCACGTGGGGGTCTTCTGCAACCATTGCCTTTTTATGAAATTATGGCATCTTTGGCTCATTCAGAGTAGGATTGGAGAATAGGGGGCCTAGACCCCTCTCCTCTGTATATATTCTTATAAAGAATAGAGCAATTAAACATTCATTAAAAGTTCATCTCTGAACATTTAAACATGATTGCTCTGGTGTTGGAACCCCAAAAGTTGGTGTCATGATTACAAATCACTTGTACTTATTTGTCCTTTGGGATCCAGTGCATTCCCCTGTCCCTGGTCAGCATTTGCAGAGTCAGAATCAGAGGGTCGGAGAGCTGGAAGGGACCTTAGGAATTATCTAGTCTAGACCACTCAGTTTTGGAGAGGAGGCAACTGAGACCCAGAGGGATCTGTCCAGAGTCACAGATCATCAGGCCAGGGCTGCTATGGACTGGAGACCAGGAGGATGGATGTGGCAGGATGAGGCCTGGGGAGAAGATAACCCCCCCATGCTGCTCCCAGTGCAGGGGAATCACAAGACAGGCATCCAAAAAGACTGCAGGTTTAGTCACCTTAAAGGCACCTGTGAATTGAGAGATGTTACTGTTAATTATACCTGTGACTTTCCATCCCTCCCTCCAGCCACCCCACCAGCTTTAGTTAACTACGCAGAAGCTTGACGAAGTTCTTCACTTCTGCGGTTGGAGCCGACACCTTGACAGATGTTCAACAGCCTGTTCCCAGGTGGGATGCTGATGCAGGCTGCCCTACTTCATGCAAAATAACTACATCTACCATTTTCACCCCAAATATTTTCCTCCTGTCTCTAGAACAAATAAAGAACATTCTTGACACATAGGTTTCTTGATGTTGTGGTGAATATGTTAAACCTGTTGTAAGAATAGTTGATAATTGATGTTCTTGGCATTTATCACCCAGCCGTGACGTGTTCAGCATGCAGTGACTAATAAATTATATTTTGTTGGATCCTTTTTTTCTACTTTTTCAGTTCAAGGCACCTGTTTCGGCATGTCAGTGTTGACAGGGCCGGTTTCCTGCCCATGTCTTTGTGCTTTGTAACCTGGCTTGAGATGAAGACAGTGAGTGTGAGTCTCAGGGACTGAAATGGACTTTGCTTTCTCAGGGTACTTTGCCCTAGAAGATCAAGTCTTTAAATTGAGTAGGAGAAGAATTAGGGGCACAGCAACGTTAGCATAAAGATTGCGGCAGTATAATTATAGCTAATGATTATATAAGTACTCCTTTCCAAGTACCTCATGTATGTTAACTCCTGTAATCCCTTGAACAACCCCTTGAAGTAGATTCCATTATTGATGAGGATACCAAACCACAGAGAAGTTACGTACCTTGCTGAAAGTCACACAGCTAGTGAGTAATGAAGCTAGTGACTATAGAAGCCATGCTCTTAAGCCACTTGGCTATTCTGCCTCTGTAACTGTGATCGCCCAGGATGTGCCAAGAGCTGCAGAGAACTTCCACAGAACGTTTTCACACAGACTCCGACTCTGACAGATTCCCTCTTGGAGCACCCTTTTACCTTCATGTGGATGCCTGCTCCCTCGCACCACTGGAGTTAGTCCTGCTGATGCTGGCCCTGTCCTATTTCCCCAAGTCTTTGCTTTTCTAGCTCTCTGTAGATGTGTCCACTGATGGGCCCACATATGGGCAAACCCTAGGTCATAAACAAAGAAGAGAATCCACGGCCAACTGGTAGGGATGGAATGTCAGTTGGGGCAACTGAGTGTACAGTAAGCCCCAGGTCTCTGTATTGCATCTGACTTACAGACTTCATCACCTTCTCATGTTGGCCATGCACTGGACTCATCTTGGCCTTCCTCTTCCTTCAGTGGCCAGTGGCCACCCATTGACCCGTGTTGGCCTACTCTCCCAGGACTGTGGCTCTGCTGTGCTTTGAGCCTGGCAGTCTCTCCCTCATTCTTGCTGGATTGTTCATATTGATTGATCATATTCCCCCAATATGAGCCTTCAGTTGGGGTTCTGCAGCTGGTGGACAGATGGAACCATTGAGTTCTCCCTTGCTTCAGGTCTGGCTCTCTGGACTGGAATTCCTGGGTCCAGTCCTTGTCTGAATTGTGCCACCATTGCCTTGCCCTTGATCATGGGCTGAGGCTGCCTGATGGTTGGTTCATTTTCCCCAGCCCAAGCCCACTGCCTTGGCCATTAGTTTGGCCCACTCTTGGCTCTCCCTCTCTTTGTGCTTGCCTGGTGTTGCTGCCTGATTTTCTCACCGCAGTCTGTTCCTTTAGGAGTTGGCAAACTTTTTCTCTAAAGGGGCAGCTAGTGAATATTTCAGACTTTGCAGGTCATATGGTCCTTGCTGCGATTACTCAGCTCTGCTTTTGTGGCCAGAAAGCAACCACTGAAAAGACGTAAATGAATGAGTGTGGCTTTGTTGCAATAAAACTTTATTTACAAGGGTGGACTGAATTTTGGCTCATGGCCTGTAGTTTGCTGACCCCTGCTTCAGGATATCTATTCTCTGCCTCTTTCTGACTTCCGCCCTGCGATGACAATGTCTCTTTAGAGGCCATTAGTGAGCCTAGTCTAGAACCCTGGGCTGCGATTTCTACTCCGAATTCCCTAGAACCCCATACTCATTGACCTTCCTGACCTATTGCTGTATTCACTTTGCAACCTTCACCTTGAATAAAATCAACCAGCCATTCACTTTTTGAAGTTCTCAGTCAGCTAAATTGGTTCCATTGAGAATTTATGTTCTTCAACAACAGCTTGGTCCCAAATTCTTTTTACTAATCCTTCTATTGAACTCTTGGCTGATTTCTTGTCCAATTCACTATGCTATATTCCTGAATCTCTTCTACACTTCTTAATTTCCTACTCCCCTCCCACCCATTCATTCTCAGCAGACGACCTTGCCTCCTACTTTGAGACTCTGAGGGTGTGAGCTCCCTCACTTCTTTCCTCGACTTCAACATTCTCCATCCTTTCTACTTCAAAATTTCTCCTTTCTTCCCATTTCAAAGGAAGAAGTATCCTTACCAAGGAAAATTTGGCTGTGCCATTAATCTAATCAGTTTCCTTTTCTCCTCAGCTTCAGTCTCACATTTTCCTTCCTTTAGCTCATAAACATTGTCTCCCCATAACTTCGCTTGACCTTGCTGCCTCTCCCGGCTGCCATCCTCTTTCACTCTCTCTCTTTATTGAAAAGCTTCTGAAAAGGAGGCTCTGCCCCTGCTGCTCTCACTTTTTCACCTTATTCTTGTCTTGTTCATGAACTGTTTGCTGTTGGCCAACTCTACCGTTGGTCCCCTACTATATTGTCTTATATGCTTAGTATATTGTGAACTTGCTTTTTTAAAGATCACCGACATCCTCATTTTATTTTATTATTATTACTTTTTTGGTGAGGAAGATTCCCCCCAAGCTAACATCCATTGCCAACCTTCCTTGTTTTTTTAACTTTTCACTTGAGGAAGATTAGCCCTGAGCTAACATCTGTACCAGTCTTCCTCTATTTTTTGTACATGGGATGTCTCCACAGCATGGCTGATGAATGGAGCAGGTCCGTGCTCGTGATCCAAACCCGCAAACCCAGGCCTCTGAAGTGGAGCATGTGGAACTTTAACCACTCGGCCATGGGGCCGGCCCCAAGATCCTCATTTTAAAATCTAAGGATGTGGACTCATTTCTCATACTTGGCGACATTTGACACTGTTGACCATCCTCTTCCTCAGGTGACTCCCCCAAATGAACTCTCCTGTCTTTCTTCTCCCCTCTTAGCTTTTTGTATTAGTGTGCTAGGGCTGCTGTAACAAAACACCACAGACTGGGTGGATTAAACAATAGAAATTCATTTTCTCACAGCTCTGGAGGGTGGAGGTTCAAGAGCAGGGTGTCAGCAGGCTGGGTCCTTTCAAGGGCCGTGAGAGAAGGATCCGTTCCAGGCCTCTCTCCTTGGCTTGTAGATGGCTGTCTTCTCTGTGTCTTCATGAGGTTTTCCTTTATGTGTGTCTGTGTCCAAATTTCCTTTTCTTATAAGGAAACCAGTCCCACTTGGTTAGGGCTCACCTGAATGACCTCATTTTAACCTAATCACCTCTTTAAAGCCTATCTCTAAATATGGTCACATTCTAAGGTTAGAACTTCAACATAGGAACTTTGGGGGAGATGCAATTCACCCAGAAGACTTTTCTATTTCCATTTTCCCTTTACTACACCTCAAATGTACATGTTCCCAAAGTCCGTGCCTTGGCCTCTTTCTTTTCATGTTCTCTCTATCTTTGAACAATCTTCTTTCCCTCCATACTTTATCTCTTGTAGCATCAAATCTTATCAGGCATTAGATGTAAATTGTCCCATAGGCACTGCAAACTCAACATGGCCCAAACAGAATGGACAATTTGCTCCCCCATACACAGTGCGTTCTCCTGCCTGACCTGAAGCCCCCAGCCCCACAGACACTCAGAATAAGAAACTTGTTGTCATTTCTGGCACTCTCTCCCCACCCACATGTGATTAATCAGTGTGTCAGTTCTGTTGTTTGGCATCAACATTCTGACCTTATTGCCACTGCTGTTGTTCTGGCCTGGACTTGAGCCAGCTCCGACAGGTCCACCCACTGAAAAAATAAGATGAGTAATGCCATTCTGGTCTTCCAGAAACTTCCAGGTGCATCTCACTGAGATTAAAACTTTGACTGACTGGTGACTTTCATTTGGCCTCCTTGGACATTTACCACTGCCACCTTTGCTGTGTTCAAGTTCCACCAGATGACAGACCTCTGTGTCTTTGCTTCTGCAGCTTAGAAGCTCCTTATCATTCAAAGGCAAAGTTAAATCTGACCTTGCCTGTCAAGTGTACCTTGATCCCCAGCGTTGGATTGAATTTCTCCTTCCTCTGTGTTAGTATAATACTTACCTGTACATGTACTCTAATGCTTATTGGCTCGTGCTAGGTATCGCATTTAGAATTACAGAGTCCTCCTGGAAAAGTAAAATTAAAGGGATTTTAGAAGGCATCCATTCCAGTGAGGAGACAGACCCTCTCTATAAGCTAACTTCCAGTTAGGTCTCTTCTTCTTCTTCTCAGTTGTAAGCCCTTTCAAGGGGCTTGGTGGCATGTGTGCGTGTGCGTGTGGGTTTTCTCTACAGCTCTTGGCAGAGTGCTTTGCCTTAAGACGTGTAAAGGTGTTTCTTAAGTTTAATTGGAGGACAGTACGGTAGGGATCTACCTGTGCCTTTGGCCCTCTGTGATGTTAAGAATTGGACATCAGGGTGGTAAGAACAAGCCTGTGTTGGTTTGCAAGGTGGTTCTCTGCAGTAATCTTTGCCTTCCATTGCTTGCTCTGTGGTTATTCACTTTAGTGCAAAATGGAGATAGTAGTTCAGACACTTCTCCCATGGGGAAGGTGGCAGGTAGGGGAGGAATGGAAGTGGGTTCAATGAACTACTTCTTACAGTACCTTGAGTTCTTTGGAGAAGAAGCAGGAGAGGAAACCAACTAAAATCAAGGTGCTTCTTAAAAGAACCCTTTAAGTAAATCTGAACAGACGAATAAGGAAGTAATTGTTTGCATTGAAATCAAATAATTCACTGTAGTGTCCTCTTAAATAGGATCTCCCCTCATGAATCTGAGTGCAGTTTCCAGATCATTAGGTAATTGACAGAGGGAGGTGAGAGCAGAGAAAATCATCTGTGGGAACAGCAATAGAAAGCACAATCAGAAATAACAGCAAGCAGTTC